AGGTTCTCACGGGACGGAGAAAACGGCGCGAGGCTCCTGGGGCGGGCCGGGGCGGGGCCGGCTCGGAGCGAGCTGGAAGTGGGTGAAAGGGCAGGGGCGTGGCGCCGCGGGCGCGAGCACCCCCGATTTTAGGGCGTGCCTGAACCGGCAGACTTCTAAACCCCAGGCTTTGCAAAAACGAGTGGTCTTCTCCGCGGGTCCGAGTTGCGAGCATGGCCCTGCTCCGAGGTGAGCGCGGCCCCCTCCTCACCCCTCGGGTCTGGTCGCACCCCCAAGCCAGCCTTCCGCTTTCGGACCCCGGGGATAGTCAGCGGTCCTGCGAGAAGTTCGGTCTCTGCGGCCCTGGGAGAGACTTAAGATCGTTTGCATGAGAGAGCGCGCTTGGAAAATGCTAGCGACAAGGATGTTTGTGTCATTTTCTGTGGATTGAGTGGGTGGAGACCAAGGTTAGCTTGTACTGACCTTGGAAGTCGCATAATAGTGAACCCGGGCTTCAAGCTCGGCTCCCAGGGAGTCCCCAAACTCACGGGAAGCGTGGGGCACAGTAGGTGTTCGGAGGAGCCCAGCCTTGGGAGGAGTGAGGGACAGCGTGATGGGCTTCTGCGCGAAAGGCCTGTTGGAATACTACCTGCCTGCCTTTCGTTGGAGCGACCACAGACTGTGACTTGTTTTTTAAATATCATATAAACTTCGTGTTATGACAGGTGGTCAGAGTCAATGGAGGAATATTCACTAGGAAACATATCAAGGCCTGAGATAAGGAAGGGCTTTTTCCCAGGATCGAAGAACCGAATGTTTTGATGGCCTAAGAATTAGTGGGCTCTGAAGAACATGGCATTTTACTGTAAATCCAGTGGAAGGGAAAACAAGGATTTAAAGTTGGGGAATGACACTGTCTGGTTTCTACTCTGATTTCTTGCAGGGTCTAGACAATGAAAAGACGGTTGCAGGATTTTTTTCGAAGTCCAAGGCAACAGCAATTGGTGGGGTTGACTACCTGGGGTTGATGGAGTGGTAAAAGGGGAGGATGATTTGACAGATTTGCAGGTGCGGTTGGTAGAACTAGGTGATGAACTGGGTGGTGGGTAAAGAGAAGGAAATAGACGTGAAAGATTTCTGGCTAATTCTTGATGCTACCATTTAAGGAGTGAGGAAAACTAAGGGAAGATAAGTTGGAACAGGAGATTCATAATTCAGTTTTAGGCCAAATGTTTGATGCCTTGAAGCCTTGAAGTAGAGGTAAAGCGTTGGTTAGGGGAAGTCCCAAGAGCAGAGCATGGCATGTGAATAAATCAATCGCTAAGTAAATACTCTACCACAAAATACAGTGTCTCCAGTTGTCTACAATATAGATTTCACTTACCAGTTCCCTTCTCAATTCATAACTTAATTACATTTACTTCAGAAAGGAGCATTTTTTAATGTGTTCAGGAAACCCAGTTTTTTTTAGAAGCTGCCTTTGTAATGAGCTGTCTTTTTAAAAAAATAATATTCTTACTAATTTCTCACATTAATATTTTACCAATAATTGTTAGCTTTGCCCAGGCTCCTTTGAACATTTTGTGAAAACTGAACCTAATAAGGGGAAAAAATATACATGAGCACCTGTATTAAAAGAAATAGGAAATTTATAAATTTGTGATATAGTTTACTAATGTTTGAGGTCACATTTTTCCCCCATTCGCTACTTTACGGGTAAGGACACTAATGTGTAAAATAAATCATCTGTAATAATTTCAGTACACAGTGGCTATCTGTGACTAGAACTCAAGCCCTTGAGTTTCAAAAAGTGGTTGTTACAGAGTAGGGTTTCTCCCAAGTTGCATACAAAGTGGTAGTAGGAAAGCAGGGCACAGGACTGATTACTGTTAAGGAGAGGGACACGTTCGAATGAGATTTTTTTTTTTTTTTTTTTTTTTTTTGACAGTGTTGTTGTGCAGTTCAGGCTGGCCTTGGGGCTCACTTTTAGCTCAGTCTGGTTTCGAACTCACAAGATTCTCTTTCCTCTGCCTCCCAAGTGTTGGGGTTACAGATGTGTACCACCATGCCCAGCTAGGGACCTTATTTAACATTACTAAGGATTGTCATTAGCTGATCGGATTTCAGTCACAAGCCAGTACCGGAGATTTTTTTTTTTTTAGTACCAACCCCACTGCTGGGTGGGAAATTGTCACCCGACAAATACACGATTAGATTTACTGCTCTTCAGATTTACTGGAAAGGTTTCTGCAAGGCCGCCCCTCCAAAGCATGCCGTGGAGGGTGCTAAATCACCGTACTCCTGAAACAGAAAAGGATGCAGTATCGGTGGTTGTTTGCTACAGCTTCTCTCCAGAAATGAAGAAATATTTAACGTGGCCTTGCTGTTAGAAATGCTGACAATGTTGTTAGAAACGAGGGCAAAGTACTTGTTTCTCTCCTACCACTGTTTTCCTGTCTTGTCCTGTCAGCATGCCTTGCCAGGCCTGTTGAAGTTCCTTCCACCCACCAGGCAGGTCTTGTGCTGCTGAGCTGTATACTTGGTTGTTTGACTTTCTGAGTTAATGTTTTTTCACTATCATATGTTCTTGGAAATCTTTGGCATCTGAATTTTCAGAATCTTTTAAACAAAATTTTAGTAAACAAGATTTTAGTTTGGTGTTAACGAATGTTAATTAACATTTTAGACCTGTTAATGGCCACATAAAGTCGGTATGAGATCAAATGAGTATGGGTATGGTGGTGAAATAAAGGGCTTTATGAAATAACAAGAACAAACTTTAAATTATCTTAGCTTTGTATCTGCATGTCCCAAGTTATTTTTTAAAATATGTTTAATATGGGAGAGCAAGATAGCTTAGTGGTCTAAAGCACCTGTGTCAGCAAGTGTAGGGAGTGCAGTTTCGATCCCCCGCACCACAGGCTGTGCCAGCCCCGCCCCCAGGGCAGGCTGAGTCTACCACAAAAAGAAAAATACGTAACATATATTTAATAGCATTTTTTCCCATTCAGAATGATTGTATTTATTTAAGCCTGGGAGCATCAAGGTAAAAAGCAGTGCTATAAATAAAGAGAAAGTTTTAATTTTTCTTATTTTCCAATATGTGCTCTAGTAGGTACTTCATCATAAGCACTACTAGCTCTGCCTCACAGATATTTTCTTGGATTATGAAATGTGGGGGAGAAACTGATACACTGTGGAGAAACATAAAATTATGAAATGTGATGAAGATATATAGTGGGTGTTTAAACTTTTTTAAAGTTTATTACTGTATAAGACATATTGACATTAGTCCCCCTCAGGATATTTTGCCACATTTCAAGCACAATGAAAAATGACATATTGCATACATGGAAATGATTCAAATGACCAGGCAATAAATATGCCATTTATTCAGGGTGCATTTAAGATTTTTATCATCCTTGGGTTTTATTTATTTATTTTTAACATTTATTTTTGTGTGTGTGTGTGTGTAGCCAGCTGAGCCCACCAGGGGGCGGGGCTGGCTGGCATGTGGTGCTGGGGGATCGAACCGCGGTCCCTGTGCTTTATCAAGCTTGTTCCAAGTAGGTGCTTTAGACCACTGAGCCATCTCTCCAGCCCCACATCCTTGGGTTTTAAAAGTTTTACAATTCTGTGTGAAATTATAGGAACATGTGTGATATTTGTTCTGTTATATTCACTAAGCATGAATCTATAAATTTTTACCTCTTATCAAATTTGTAGAATTTTCATTTATTATTGCTTCAAATTATTTTTTGTTCTACTCTCCTATAATACTGTAAGTGTTCTGCTCATGTTTTTTTCCCGAATTTTTCTTTTCTGTCTTTTTTTTTTTTTTTTTCCCAGATAGCCTAGAGATTGATCCAAGGAACACAGCCAGCCATCTACTAAGCAGCATCCACGGCTTTTTTTTGGTGATACTGTCTTGCTAATTAGCTCAGGCAGAACTGTTACTTCTGATTCTCCTGCCTCAGTCTCCGTAGGTGCAGGGATTATGGGTGTGTGCCCCCATTTCTAGCTTCCCTTTTTAATTAATGAACTATTTTGAGGCCAATTTTAGGTTTATAGAAAAGCTGAGAGGAAAGCACAAGGCAATATCTTACATACACTCACATCTTCTTGCCTCTGAACCCATGGCAAGCACTCATCTTTTTATTTATTGCCTCTATGACTTTGCCTTTTCCAGATATATAGTAAGAATCATACAATATATAGCTTTTCAAATTGACTTCCTTCATTTAAGACTATGCATTTAAGATTCCTTTTTTTTATGACTTGATAGCTCTTTTTAATTGCTGAATAGTATTCCACTTCTGGTATCCATCCTAGTCTGCTTATCCATTATCAAAGAACATCTTAGCTGCTTCAAGTTTTGGCAGTTAAGATTAAACAGTCTAGTGCAGATCTGAGGTTAATTAGGTACATGCAAAGAAGCACAATTGGTGAATCATATGGTTAGAGTATGTTTAGTTTTGTAAGAAACTGCCTGTCTTCCAAAGGGGTTGTACTGTACAGCTTTGCTTCTCTACCAGCACTAAGTTCCTGGTACTCCACCTCTATACCAGCATTGGATGTTGTCAGTGTTTAGTCTTTGAAATAATTGTGTATTGGCAGGTCATTATTACAATTTGCAATTCCCTGATATAGTATGATGTTCTGCATCTTATCATATGGTTACTTGCTGTCTGTGTAACTTCTTTTTTTTTTTTTTTTTTTGTGGTACCAGGGATTGAACTTAGGCCCTTGTACTTGTCAGGCAAGCACTTATTCTACTGAGCTATCTCCCTGGCCCCTTACATTTGTATTTAAATATATGATCTGTTTTTAATTTTTGTGAGAAGTACACAATCTATGTTTTTAAATGTTGGGGCTGGGGAGATGGCTCAGTAGAATAACCGCTTGCCTGGCAAGCTTAAGGGCCTGAGTTCAATCCTCAGTTCCACAAAAACAAAAAACAAACAAACAAAAAAAAAATGTAGATGTCACCAATGGATGGTGGCTTATGTCTGTAATCCCAGCATTCGGGAGGCTGAGGCAGGAGGATTCCCTGAGTTTGAGGCCAGCTTGCACTACATAGTAAGACTGTCTTTAAAAAAAAAAATCCCTAAATCTAGATGTCTAGTTTTTCCAACACCATCGGTTGAACTATCATTTCTTCAGTGAATTGCCTGTGTTCTTTTGTCAAAATTTGTTGTTCTACCCTTGCTTTATTTTGTTTTGTTTTCAGTCTCTTTTCTCCCCCTTCGGATTAGATAATCTATTTGTCAGTCTTCAGAGTCACTCTTCTTTACTTTTCATTCTGTTGTAACTTAACCAATGAATTCTTTTTTTTCAAGTTTTATAACTTCAGTGTTTGGCTATGTTAGTTTCTATTTCTTTGCTGAGATAGTCTATCTTTTATCATGTGTATATTTTCTTTTTTATATCTTTGAGCACAAGTATAGTAGATAGCTGGTTTTTTTTAAGTCCTTGCATGCTAATTACATCATTGGGGTCTTGAATTGGTCTCTGACTCTTTTTTTCTTGAGAGTCACATTTTTTTAGTTTCCTTCTGTATGTGTTAATTTTTCACTGTATTAGAGACATAGCAGATTGAACATTTTATCTATTTATTTATTAGTGGAACTGGGGATTGAACTCAGACCCTTGCGCTTGCCAGGGAAGTGCTTATTCTACTGAGCCATCTCGGAGGCTCACAGATAGAACACTTTAGAAACTGAATTCTGTTTTGTTCTTTAAACTGTTGATGTACTGTCTGGTAGGCCTTCATTTTTTGCAAGCAGCTATTCAGGCTGAAGCCATACTACACACTAGGTCATTCCCTATGGTAGGCAGCACCTCAGATTCAAGGTGAAGGTTTGTACATTGGCTGAGATATTTGTGATCTAATCCGCATATGCTTGGTTCAAGTGTCATGTGTTTGGGCAGTTTTATGTAAAATTTATGCTCTTCCTCTTTGGTGCTCCTCTTTTTCAGATTCTCATCACTTTCCAGTGCATATAGTTACTGTGAACTTCGTTCCCTGATTCTTAAAGCCATTATGTCTGTATTTCATAGTTCTAGTCAATCCATGCAGTATGGACTGCTAGCTTTCCATAAATAAATGGGACATTCATTCTGTACTATTCCTCCTTCCAAGTAGCGAATGTTCTTTATACCTGCCTACTTTTGGTTCATTTCTGGGGCCTTCACATAGTTTTTCTCATTATTGTATAGAGTTTTTCATTATTGTCTATGGCCAAATCAGAGCATGTTCATTCATGTCCAAAAGAAGAACTAATGAAATTAGAAACAAGACTTGGAAAGTGTAAAGAAAAGTCAAGCAAAAGTGATGTTGTGAAAAGGGACTATTAACTGGAAATTCTTCTTTACAGTAAGCTTCCACAGTAACATTATTTAAAGCATGTTAAGAGATCTCGACTGATCTGTGCCCACTTACAAATCCCTTCTTTCATTAGGTGTGTTTGTTGTTGCTGCCAAGCGAACGCCCTTCGGAGCTTATGGAGGTCTCCTGAAAGACTACAGTGCCATTGATTTGAATGAGTTTGCTGCCAAGGCTGCTCTGTCTGCTGGCAAAGTCCCACCTGAAACTATTGACAGTGTCATTGTAGGCAATGTCATGCAGGTTAGTAGGGCAAGGGCAGTGTTCTCTCTGTTGTCTACCATGATCATTTTCTAAATATAATTCCTTTGTCATGTGACATGATGAACAAGTTAATAATAGATACAAGTTCATGAATTTGTAATTTGAGGAATCCTTTGACTCCAGAAGTGAAGAGTCAACGCAACCTATATTCTGGAAATTGAGGGTGTCTGACTGGGGATGAATTTCAGTGCCTTTTAAAAAGCAGATTGACCTCTTGGACTTAGGTGCAGTTAATTGGTTTTCTCCAGATGCCACCAAAGGAGTTGTTAGCCAGCTTTCCGTCACTGTTACAAAATACCTACGCTAATCAATGTGAAGGGAAGAAAGGTTTATTTTGGCTAATGGTTTCAGAGGTTTCAGTCCCTGGCCCTTTGGCTATGGGCCTGTGGCCATGAATACATCATGACAGGAGTATATGGTGGGAAAGGGCTGTTCACCCCCTGGCAGCGAGGAGCAAAGAGAGACAGGAAGCGAAAGCCCCAGCAACGTAACTTCCTCCCACTCGGCTCACCTTCCTAGAGATCCCACTGTCTTCCAGTAGGGCAGTGGTCTGGGCTCCAAGCTTTTAACACATGGGCGTTTGAGGGATGACCCAGATCCAAACTCTAGAGGTAGAGTGCCAGGCTGACATAATACAGCCACCTCCTGTAACTGTACACTTTAGGAGTTTGGTCTCTAGTTGATGTGGTAAATATGAACACATACTTGGCAAACTTTTTAAAGCTGAAATAATATTTCAATTGTAAAAGCCATTCCTAGTTACAAAAAAAGAAAAAAGAATCAGAAGTCTTATTGTAGTTTAGCATGATTTACAGTGTGATTTTTTTTTTTCCAGTATCAGGGCTTGAACTCTGGACCTTGCACTTGGCAGGCAGACACTTAGGCCGCTAAGCTAGTTCCCTAGTCCCTTAGCATGATTTACAAATGCCCTAAGAATTTTTTTTTTGTGGGGGGGCAGGGCAGAACCGGGGATTGAACTCAGGCCCTTGTTCTTGCAAGGCAAGCGCTTATTCTCTGAGCCATCTTCCCGGCCCCTGTCATAAAAATTTTTAAACCACATAATATTTTAAGTAGAGGGGCTGGGGAGATGACTCAGTGGAATAAGTGCTTGCCTGGCAAGTGCAAGGGCCTGAATTCAATCCGTGGTTCCACCAAAAAAAAAAAATTTAAGTAGAAAAACACTATAATTTTAAAAGTTTGGTACTGTTTCTATGATTTATGTAGATGTGTTAACTTGTCTCTATAGGAAACCCAACTAAAAGTTGATCATAATGTTATGGGTTTCTCAGGATAGGAACCAGATCAACCAGATTGGAATTTGGAAAGCCGTTTATTACTGAGCTCAAGGCCCCCATCTGCTCTCACATAGGAGAGGACGGAAAGGTGGCAGCCCAGGAAGCAGGAAGGAGTTTTAAAACCTGGAACTACTTGAGTTTGATAAGCAAATTCATAGAATGACCACATTCAGTGTGGTAAACAAATTCATTGTCTGACACAAAATAATGCTTTCAGAGTGATTGGGACCACAACTCAAACTATATTTCCTGGGGCTTTTGTTTCAGTTCCTGGTTAATTTGCACCTGAGTACCTACAGGCAGCCTTGCATAGCCCAAGGTTACAAGAAGTTAAAGCCCATTTAGTTTCCTTCAACTCATCTCTGTAAGCTAACTTTGCTGACAGGAACTGGTGAGGGTTACAGGAATTTTATCTAGCAAACAGCAAGAAACAGCCACTAGTTACTAAACAACTTAGAACAGTGGTAAGTATACATTTTTACACAACAGAAAACACAAGATTTACATTTATTTATTTTTTTTTGGGGGGGGGAGTGAGACACATCTTTTTATTTAAGGAAGGTAAATTTACCAAAATCACATATTCTCTGAAAGTAATACAAGTTCTCCTGTAAAGCTGGGGACAGATAAGGTTTGTTGCAGTTATTAGCTTTTAGAAGCCATTCAAATTCTTCATGTCTTCTTAATATGTAGGAAGGGTGTGATTTCAGAATCACCCATCCATTTGAATTTATCCAGGAACTGAATTAACAGACTGAAGGGGCTTGAGTCCTGAATCTCCTTTCATTTCAATGGATCAGCTGGCCCAAATTCAAACAAATAGAGCAGCTTTTAACTGCCTTGTTGTCCCTCTCTGGAATCCTATTCTTAAGAACCACTGGTACAATCCTAGAGTTCTCCTTCATTGCTACCTTGCTTCAAGGTTGGAAGCCCATTATAAAGTTGGTGGAGCAAGGACCAGCCACAAGCACTATGAAATCTGTCTCAGTGAGAGGGCTGAAAGCAGCTATAGGATGAATGGGGAGTGTCAAGTCCTAGGTGAACGTCACCTGGGGCACCTTGCAGCCTGGTGGAAGCCATGATGTGATTCAGATCACAGACAGATGAGACTGCATGGTACAGCTTTCTCAGCTGCTAGGATCCCAGGACACTTTTTGTGTTAGAACCTGCCACTACAACACCAAATGTAATGGCTCACAAAGAGGACATTTAGACAGTATGTTTCGTGTCAGGCAACCACAGTGACCAAAAGACACAGTGGTGATTTTTTATCCATACATTCATTTATGACAGAATATGTATTGTACTTCTGGAGCTGGCAACACTTGACTTTGTCCAGTCTGGTCTGGAGCTCAGGGGGAGTTAATTCATATATA